ACCTAAGAGGGAACAAAATGAGATCAAAAAACAAATAGTCAAGCGCTCGGAAGATAAATTTATACCTACGTCCGGTTTGTACTTAGCTCCTTTCCATATGCTTCCTTCCTCGTGCTTGCGCTGAATCAGGTCTCGGAGGTTTCCACATATCCTGCTGTTGAATTACGGATGCGACGCGAATCGATTGCGTCAATCAAGCTATCAAAGAGTAAATCGTAGAATGAATCCCTACGTAGTCTTTTCTTTTGACCCTATTTGATTGATGATTTCAGATCGCACAGCAGACATCAGTTCTCCAGACATTTGACAGGCTACTTCAGTGTGGCGCTGAAGCGTATCCAAGAATAACATCCACGAAGAAACATCAGAAAGGTTGTAATGAGATCGTTAAATTTTCACCACACCGGGTCAAGGTCCAGATTACTGGTGTGATCTGACTGACTATTTCTTGCGGCTGCTTGGATGCCAAGAAGACAGACACGCCAGCAGAAATATTGGGCGCCTTTGAAAATAGAGATTTCTTGCCACTGCTTTCCAAAAAATCATTCCACTCATTCTGTAACGTAAAAACACGATGATCAGTGATAATCAAAAGTCCACGAGAAGAAAGACTGGCGATCATACCATAAAATCGTCCTCAATGGGCTCACCGTCCCGCAAGCACCCGACCTTTTTTCCTGTTTTCAATGTGACTTCCTCGATGGAAGTCAGGAAAGCTTCCATTGCCAAGTTGGCTGCTGCCAATTTGACTGGCTTGACGATTACCTTGACATTGATTTTATCGTTCATTCGATCCTGGGGAAGGTGGACTAGGGAAACAAGATTTTCGGCTTCGTCCTCAGAGCAGAGGAAGCTAGCTGAGTAGGGTGTGATCAAGATGAGGGTGGAGAGCAATGGTCTGCCGCAGAGGAAAACTTGCAACGCTCGCGTCTTGGTGTATGGATGTGCTTCACCCAACACAATCCCCCCGCATGACTTCAGTTTATCTGTTCCCGGATCGTCAGTACCCTGGCCACGCGCCTGTGGTATATGCAATCGCCCAAAAATCGATCACGGAGGATTCGGGAAAAAGTAAGGACACATCAGGATTGGCCAGGACAAAGATGACAGGGCCCGTAAGCTGGGCTGACCTTCCAAAACGCGATGAGAAACTCAAGTCGTCTGTAAAATAACTCTGCATCTATCTTATCTTCGGAGATTCGGTGGGCTTGCATATTTGAAGGACTGCAAGAGTGCATTGGCCCGGGTCGGGATTGAAGTTCCGAAGGAAGTTGTGGTAGTGGTTGGCTGCCGGGTCCACTGGGAAGTTTGTGTGTTAGTCTCAAAGGGCCTCGACACAGAGAAGGGGGGGGGGAGTCGGAATTTGGATATTTCCAAACGACAACCAACCAAGATGGCCGAAAGACGCTGGGATGGGCCATTCAACCGAAGCACATCAATCAGCCGAAAGTCGAAGACCTACCTAATCATCTTAAACACACCCATCAAGATCGCTAGGAATGGGCATCCTAACCAAGTGTTCGAAGACCTTTGGAAACTTTCGGATTACAGGATATGTGCCGATGGGGGAGCCAATCGATTACACGACTATTGCTCAGCCTTGGGCGAAGCTCGAAAGATGTTGATACCAGATTACATCAAGGGAGATTTGGATTCGATCCGACCAGAAGTCAAGCAATTCTACGAACATTCTGGATCTCAAATCACTCGAGATCCAGACCAAGACTCGACGGACTTCGGGAAATGTCTAGCGTTGATCGAAGGGCTCGAAAGACAATCTGATTCGAATGACTACTACAACCATTCGACTGGCTTATTGCTCATCCATGGTGGTCTCACGGGAAGACTCGACCAAACGATCCATACCCTTCATACTCTCCTCGCAAGGCTTTGCCCATCGCCAACTTCGTCAAGCAATCTCTCGCAAGGTGTCCCAGAAACTTGGGTAGTGGATACCGATGCTGGAAGCATGGCTTGTGCTCTCGAACGGGAGATGAAACACCTCTTGGTCATCCCGCCCAGCTGGAGACAAGGCCCGAGTCCGTTGACGTGCGGAATTTTACCTATCGGAATCAATCAAGCTACCGTGACTACGAAGGGGCTGAAGTGGAACTTGAGTGCGTGTACTTCTTTATCCCAGCTGTCCAGAGGTAAAGAATGAAAGCGACCTGACGAATTGATTTGTACTTTGCAACAAAAAAAACAACGAAAAACACCAACAACCCAACGGTTCAATGTTTCGTTGCGTCACACTCATTAATCTGTAAAAATGCGGCAACACAAATCAGGTCAAGCGAAAACTTCTATCACAGGACTGCTTTCGACTTCGAACCACATTCTGCCTGAGACTGATGCAGTCGAAGTGATGAGTGATGAGAGAGTGATCTGGACGATCGAGATCCCTGGGATGACTGTATGACTGTTCGGTGTGTTTATTTATGGACACATAGATTCTCAAACGGGTTGGCCATGTATGTGCTCGATTGAAAAGAGTTTGTAAATGGTACAACAGATCCCCAAAGACCCAACTTGAAGGAGTACCTCACGCAGCAACGGATTTAAGTGCAACGGTAGCAGTGGCGAGCTGATCGATCATGGCATGCCATTCTAAATCACTGGCGGTCCTCTTGCTCTGTTCTTCAAGTTCTCTAATGACCGGGTCGTCGTTCAGCTTATAAATCTTCCTCAGTCCCTTCCAATTTACAATAGATTTACCGAGGTGATCGTCCAGCTTGACGAGTGTCCCATCAACGAGTGCTTGCGCTGCTTGGTCCAGTGCTTCCTTTGACGGCTGATTATCACCTTCTATCGGCTGAAGTTTAACTAGTAACAGCGCGTTCGTTTGTGGTCCCAAACCGAACTTCTTGATCGCTTCCATGATCTGGATTGCAAACATTATAAATCAAATTTAGTCATCCATATTCCAAACCGACTGGTTTTCCTTGGGTTGTTTCGGGGGATAGTCAAAAAGGAAAGCTAAGGGCGCATACGTTTGTTCCAGGGGACAATGTCCATAGGATCTCGGAGTGAAGCGTTTTCGTTTTCAGGGCCCGGTGCGACTGAGTGACAAGTGCTTGGCAAACTGCGGTGGTGAGGTGTTGACGAGATGTGATCTGTTTGAATGGAATTGAGTATTAGCTCGAGTACGCCACATGCTCAGGTCTTGAGTGTCCTGCAGAATTTATTTTTGTCTGTTGTGCAGAACCCAATTATTAAATTTTTACACCTAGATCACGAGAAAGCAGACTTGATGGGGCAATGAGTTACATACCATTGAAGCATCGATGAACGCCCAATCCAACCTACTCTGCTCTGCCTCGTCGTTAGTCTGACTGGCTTGGATTAACGCTTTCTTGATCTCGGCGGTGTTCTTGACTTGTTCGAAGAGCCATACGTTCATCATCGTTGAGAAAAATGGCAGCTCTAATCTCTCCATGGCTGAATATACCTGTTTCCTCGTTCAGTTGCCTTTATGTTCTTGCTGAAACAGAAATTCGGTTCAAGAGACGGCGCTTGACAAGTTGACAGTCAGCTGGTTTGTTGTCTTGACTGTTGACCGGGACATTCGACCTCGGGAGGCCCTGGGACCTTCGCCGTCATGAGGGGCTCCCTTCAGCGACTCAAGGGAGCGCCGCCGCGGGCGCAGAAAAGATTGCACCGCTGTGCCAAATCAACAGACCACACAGGTCCACACTCCACAGATCTCCTTCTAACTTAACTAATCCCCTTGAAAGTCTCATCCGATGGTTCGCCGGAGTGGAAGGCCTGGCCTGTGGAACGGCTTCCCCCTCCAAATAAGAGAGACTTGGTTGGATCAGGGCTTCCTTCCATTGCCAGGATACAATAGAGCACCGTGGCCATGCCTATGTGTTTGCTTTTTTTTTCTTGTATGTTGTAGGATAATCTGATGATCATCTTGTCTGTTTGACAGCACTGGTTGTCATTCCTCACTTTGTGTTGGCCTGTCAGGATGCTTGTGCACACCTGTCACCCACAAATTATCTAGGGAGGGCTTGTGTGATGATGCAGCCTCCCTAGAAGCTATAAAGTAACCGGCAAGGGAACCATAGATTGATAATGTGGTTGTGTTGAAAAGAAGAAAGCTATTTCATTTCCAATATAGACTGTGTACAAACTTTGAGAAAAAGCAAGAGCAAGGATAAGCTGAATATCTAGCCGGATTGAGCCACCAATTTACTAGATTCATTTTGCATGTCAGGTTCATGATTATTTGAAATCTGTTTTTCAAGTCATCATACTAGAGATCGTTCGTCGGTACCCGTTGCTAGGTACCTAGTACCGCTCGGCGGGTACCGCCCGCACCCGCCTCGCACCCGCCAGGCGGTGCCGGGTGCGGTGCCGGGTGCCGGTTTTTTGGCAAAAACAGGGGAGGTACCCGGGTACCGCTCCGGGTACCGCTCCCAAGAGTCTTGACCGGAAAGAAACCCTTCCGGTCAACCTGGCCGGGACGCTGGGGTTCCCCCCAGCCTCAAGGCCATTTTTTTTTCTTTTTTTTTTCTTACTTTTTTTTCTTTTTTCTTTTTATTTTTTTATCTTTTTTTTTTCTGTTCTTTTATTTTTTTTTCTCTTTTCTTTTTCCTTTTTTTTCTCTTTTCTCTTTTCTTTTCTTTTTTGGTTTTTTTTTTCAGCAATTACAAACAGTTTTTTTTAAAATTCTTTTCAATTGTTTTTGACTTTATATTTTTTATGTTTTTAAAATAAAATGATAGTCACAATAAATCCCCCCCAAAAAAACTCAAACAAGATGCAAAAGGATTGTAATGAACCTTGCAGTCAAACTAAGTGAGGAAGAGAGGGGAGGTACCCGCGGTACCTGCCAAAAGTACCGCCGGTACCTGCCGGGAGGTGCCTGGTGCGGTACTTGGTACCTATTTTCTGAAAAAAATCAACAGGTACCTAGGTACCAACAGGTACCCGAGTACAAACGAACGATCTCTACATCATACCATTTGTTTTAGCAAAGCAAGCCTTGATATACAGGCTTTGGGGTGGGACAAGGACAAGGTCATAATCAAGATGTTTCTCCATGTGTATTGATTCAATTTCAAATTTTTGTTGAAACAATTTTGTAATTGTCTCATGAGCAGTATCCACTTGATGCAGATCTGTATTTAACTTGAAGGTTTTGAGCACTCAATCAATGAAACTTCTGTGTTGCAGATTATAAATATTCTTTGAAACATCTTGAAATACCACTTCCCAACTTTCCATCCTTATTGAAAACATAATCTGCCTCAACTTCTAACTTCTAAAAAAGATAAAAAAAATACAATCCATAGCCATGCTTATAAACAAGTTCTTAGTTTTCTCACAGCTCTTACATTACTATAGTGTTTCAACACACCCAATTTCATCTTCAAAAAACCTAGTGAGAAGAGCAGAAGATCTTCTAGAAGTTTCCCACTGCAAGCACCCACAAAATGAAGAAGACATAGAACATTCATATGGTGTGTCATTATATGTGATATCTTCCTCAAATGAAATATTTGAAATATTTCATTCTATTCTCAAAATGGATAGTTGATGATTTTCATTTTTCAGAGTTTGAGAACACTGAAGAATTGCACTGTATGCCAACCTTTCCACTTGATATATTTTTTCCTGTTCAATGCTCATGTTTGACAATCTTCATTTTACAGCTTCCAAAAAGTGTGAGGATTCAAAACGTTAGTAATTTGAATCACAGTACTCAAAATAAATACCATTCAGCAAGATATCTAATGTGGAGGAGAACCTGTTCATGTACTTCCAGTGGCATCAGACCTTCAAGGTACAGCCAAAGATAATGGACCTCATAGCATTCAGGCTTTAGATAGTAAGTGGTATCAGTTAAAACCTCAAGTCACCCTCAATAATGCAACAAAGCATTCAGATACTGAATTTTGGATTTCAAACATATCATAATAAAAATCAAGTGAATATATCACACAAGTACATTCCAAAGTCCAATGAAGATCTTGCAAAATTCAATAACATCATGAAAGAAAGGCTAGACAAAGATATTTTCATTCAAAGTTTGAAAAATTTCCTGAAAACTTTGACTCAATCAGAAAAAGAAGTTTTACTTAAAGTTGCACAAAGTTTTCATCAAGAAACACCCAACATGATCAACACCTCAGAAGAATTTGAAAAAAACGAATTTGGTTCATTTGGAAAGAATTTAGACTTTCAAAATTTGGATATGTGGGTTACAAAATTTGTCAATAAATCAACAGCAAACAAAAATGGGAGAATTTTGACAAGCAATGAAAAATATGACAATTTTGATTGTCAGAAAAAAATTGATATATTGAAGGCTGGCTTGGATAATCATCCAGAAAATGAAAACATCTGAAGGGAATAAAGTTAATGGAGCTTGATTTGAAGATACAGAATTTTGAGAAAGACTTCAATGATGATTTCACAGTAGACAATTGGGATGGCGATGAATATAGATTGTATCATAATTTAATCCAGGAATCAATTTCTCATGAAAGGTGAAATTATGATATACCTGCTGCATTTTAATGATACTTTTTTTCTTCAAATTTGCTTTCTACTCATGAATTATTTCACTTCTATGGATCTTCATAATAGCCTATTTTTTCCTATCTCTTTTATGTTTATATTCAAAATTTTGGGATTTATTACTGTTTGTGTTTCAGCCATTCTCTTCTTCTTATTTTTAATTTTGAAAAGAAGGGTTTATAATTGAAGTACCTGATGATTTTTTTTCCTGAAACTAAATACCCAAACTAAGGAAAAAATGGGCTTGACAAATAGACAAAACAACAAAATACATATGGAAACAAGATTTACCCCCAGGTAAGAGATAATAGAGCAATCAAGAATACTGATATGCAAGAGAAGAAATACAACCAAAAAAAAAAATCAGAAACACAGAGAAGATATCAGTCAACAGATACAAAAGGAAAGGAGTGAGGAGGATGGTTTTGTGGCTCTTGGTTTCTCACCTAATTGTGAGAGAGATGGTTGGTACTGTTGAATAATATTGAGTTGATTTGAAAAGGTAAAACAGTCATGTGAAATGTTTTTATGAGGATCAATCAGAGAAGAGAGATTTTGACAAAGTCAAGTAAAGCAATGAGTGTAAATGTTATAAGGTATGGTATGGAATGGATATTTTCAAACAAAAAGAAT